GTTTAAGAACAAAAACGACTGTGGAATGTTCTGGCATTGTTCCAACTATATTCCATACCTTAAGGAGTGTCCGTCCAACCTACACTGGAGTGTTGAGAGACAAAGATGTGAATGGCCTTGTATCGCCAAGTGTGATCCTTCTGTTCCAAGTAGGTTTTCTATTGATACCTTAAGTAATCTGTTTCAGATAAAAATATCATGATACTAAACAAATATATTCAAATATATATGTCGGTAGCATATTGATTAAGCCTTGTTGGATCACACTTAGCAAGGCAAGGCACGTCACACTTCTGTCTTTCTTCATCCCAATGTAGACCAGAAAGACAGTCTTTCAAGTAGGCAATTCCATGTGAACAATGCCAAAAGGTACCACAGTCAAATTCATTCTTAAACATTCCGTCTTTACTTGGACACACAAAGTGATTGCAGTCAACGTTCTTTGGGTGGTCACAGACTTTGGTGATTTTGTTGAAATACAAACCAGGACTGCAGTAAACGAGTTCTCTAGTTCCATCCTTACAGCGGTAGTAAGCTGAACAATCACTGGGGTGTGGCGTTACACAGTTAGTACATTCACAAGGATTAGGAGATGTTTGAACGCTAGTGGACTCAGTTGGACAAGCTAGAAAAATGTGACGACATAGTGCGATTTAATATATATATTTAGACAAAATACTATTACAACACTGAAGTCAATAATGTTTTTTGATACGCCAATCCAATTTGGATAGTAAGATGCCGAAATATAGTTATTCTAAATTATGTCTTGTTACTGGTAAACGCGTAGACATTGTACGCAAGGAAGATTTCGGGGAACTTTTGAAAAATATATCAAAACATTGGTTGTTCTATTTTGTACATGAAAATACTATAAAAAATTTACGGAAAGGTTACTTCTGTTTTGGTTCACAAGAATTGTTTATTCGATAATAAAGTATTTTTATTAACAAAAAAAACCATTCTGTAAACATACAACAACTAGATCACATTTATTTATCACAGATAAAAAACACATATTCTATAGTTAAGCTCATAGATAGTAATATTGCTAATGTATAAACAAAAGTTACTCATTCGAAAACAAAGAATGATTTTTAGATTTTCAGGAACATTATACTCACGTGGAACAGATGGATCACATTTGGCAAAACACGGCCAATCGCATCTCTTTGTCTTTTCATTCCAATGTAATTTAGGATTACAGTCCTTAAGGTAAGGATATCCGTTATGGCATTGCCAATAACTGCCACAGTCGTCATCGTTCTTGAACATTCCTTCAGGGCTAGGGCAAATGAACTTTTCACACTGAACATTTTTAGGATAATCGCATGCCTTGGTTTGTTTGTTAAAGTAAAGACCAGACTGGCAATATAGTAACTCTCGGTGACCATTACTACATCGATAATAAGCAGAGCAGTCATTCTCGTGAGGTGTCATGCATCCATCACAACCACAGTCAGGCTTACCGACGGTTGTTGTGGTCGTTGTCGTTGTTGGCTCAGTTGGACAGGCTGAAAATGTGATTACATTACATGTTATTATATATTATTGTGCTTTCATTTCCTTAAAAACTATTCATAACTGTGTTCCCTAAGTAAAATAAAGCAAATCTATTAAGATATTAAATAGCAATAAAGATTTATGACGATATATTATACATACGTATAAAACAAGGCTTCAGTTAAAAGTAAGTAGGATTATGATTGTTTGGAGAGAAATGTTGCATGGTACTTCAGTTAAAAGTAAGTAGGATTATGATTGTTTGGAGAGAAATGTTGCATGGTACTTCAGTTAAAAGTAAGTAGGATTATGATTGTTTGGAGAGAAATGTTGCATGGTACTTACGGTTTAAAACATTTAACGGTTTGAATATTTCTTTCGTCAAGTTTAGTCGTATTGATTACAATTCCAAATTAGAATGGCATAAGGTTATAATACAGCTTTTGATAGTAATGTGAAAACAAATATATTAATAATGCTGTCAAAGTTATTTTCACAAAATGAATACTTCTAGAAAATTACTATTGTTAACAAACATAAAAAAGAATGAACGTGTTTAATCTAAAAGGGAATGTTCATAAGGCAATCTTTCAATATAAATCGTAATTACTACTGTTAAGCTTTACGATTATCACTGCATGAAAAAAATTCTATTTTGTTCATTAGCACATATTGTAAAGCATAAATAAAATTTCATTTTGAGATATTCTTTTCTTCTTTTAATCATATTTGGTAACATTATATGACAACAATGTTCTTCTTAATTATCCCATGCCTGTATTTACTGAAATCTTGTTTATACCACATTTTCTGTTCCTCAGCCTGCGAACCAACTAAAA